CGACGGAGTGGGGACTCGCATCACCCGCTTAGTCATCTTCCAAAGCGACTGGTCCTCGCAGTCTAAGGATTCCAGCGTGTCGCACCTCTGGAGTCGGTTGACCTGCGCATTGAGAGCGGGGTCCCTCGTGACCTGCCACCGCCTCCTCAGCCGGTTCTTCAGGCGTATTTCATCCTGAATAATAGCGGGCAGGGGCGGTCGCCTATCAACGCGGGGTCGAAGCTTGGGAGCGGACGCCGCTATGCACTGGTCAGCTCCTCGAGGCAAGCCTGGAATGCATCCCAGTCCATTCTCGCGAAGTCAGGGCGGTCAGGTAGGTTCTGAAAGGATGATCGGCACGTGCTGTCGATGAGGACGGGCAGGTGGTCTGAGCTGCGCGCGGGTCAGACAGTCAGATGCACTGGTAGGACGAAGTCCTTGATGAGAACAATGTCAAGGACACCGGGGGTTCCGTTGTGTGTGTAGGGACCCGTGGTTGCAGTAAGTGGAAGGAAGCCAAGGCGGCCGCTGCAAAGCGTGCCAGAGGAGAACGCGCCCGAAAGGACGGCGTCTCCACGCTCTTGCTAGCGCTCTCATCGGCGCCAGCTAAGCCTTCTCCGGAACTGGAGAACCTGGGCCATGGCTGGAACCACGTGGTCCGTAGTGGCCGCGTCGTCAAAGCCAAGGCTGCGAAGAACCCCGCCTCAACGCCGCCCGGTGTTATTACACGGACTGAGCGGCGGGCTGTCCCTAAAGTCGGCAATGCCAAGCCCTCTCGTCCTGTAGTGCCGGTGGCGAATCCCACTTCACCTGTTCCCAAGAAGACTGGACCCGCCCCACATAATGTTCAGTCTCCGCTCCAGGGCATCACAGATCTCCTGGAGAAACTCCCGACCAAGGCCTGCGTCGAGTTGACACGCCGTCTTATCGCCGCGTCCCCATCCGGGGAGGCCCGATCGCGATCCTCAAAACCGTTTTCCTTTTCAAAGCCGAGTATGACTGCGCGGCCTAGGAGACACGGAGGTAAGGCCTTGCGGCTGGCTTACTGGAACACCGACGGTGTTCTCGGCAGGAAGCTGGAGCTGGAACAGTTCCTCGTTGACCACGGAGTCGACGTTTGCCTCCTGAACGAGACTCACCTCACGACGGGTCGGGTCTTGAGGTTCGCGAACTACGTTTGCCACCGGGCGGATCGCCCGACGCAGGGGGGAGGCGCGGCGATCCTTGTCCGTAAGGGCATTGATCATTACCCTGTGCCGGTCACGGGTCGGGTCTTGAGGTTCGCGAACTACGTTTGCCACCGGGCGGATCGCCCGACGCAGGGGGGAGGCGCGGCGATCATGACAAATAGGAAAGTGAAGCTTGTGGCGGCATACCTCTCGCCCACGCGGCTCTGGATCGAGTTGGACCTGTCCGAGTGCCTGAGCGGGGGTGTCCCGGTCCTATTGGTTGGTGACCTCAACGCGAAGCACACGGAATGGAATTCTAGGCTGATCTCTGCGAGGGGTACGCATTCGGATGTAAGTATACGACTCCCAAGAGGAACTTCTGGATCGAGTTGGACCTGTCCGAGTGCCTGAGCGGGGGTGTCCCGGTCCTATTGGTTGGTGACCTCAACGCGAAGCACACGGAATGGAATTCTAGGCTGATCTCTGCGAGGGGTACGCATTCGGATGTAAGTATACGACTCCCAAGAGGAACTTCGTGTGATCGTTGATGGCAACGTCCAATGGGCATATGTCACCAACGGATGATTCCTCTATCTTCAGTTTGCGACTCACGTCGATGGTGCGGATCGGTTTGCATTCACTCACGCTATCTACGTTTCTGTAGATCGCAACACCTCCAGCGGCGGAAACGTTCGCCGGTGGCTCGGACGACGTAGACGGTCGATTGCGACGATTCTCGATCACAGTGTTCTTGCAAGCCTTCATCTCGAAGCCGCAGAGTTGCACGGGTTTCGCATCGTCCATCCATGTCTCGCTGACGGCCAGCTGTCTTCTGCGTGAGCCACCAAACTTTGGGCGTTCATAGCTGAGACGATCACGACCAGTTGTCGCGAAATTTCGTCGCCTTCGTCTCGTACGTTGGGCATTTCAACGTCCCGCGTGATCGCGGTTAGAACGGAGTCTCGTCTGCAGAAGTCGCTCACTTGTTTCGCCAGCGTGGGTAGCCGATGTTTCATCATCCGTTCGTACTCGTCACGAATTTCTTTGACTGCCGGTGCTCTGTTTCCGTATCCGTGATAGAAGTTGTAATCGTCCCGTTCGTTAGTCACATACAAAC